AAATAATACTTATTTGTTTTATATTTTCAATCAATAAAATGTCCTTTTGCGTTATAACCGAATTATTTTGTTTAATTATCACATTTATAAAGCAATAAATTTTGAATTTCTGAATCCTTTTTCGCTCAATGTATGTCATGTTAGTATCTTCGCTGAAGATGTTTCAAATAAATAAATATTAATAAGGCACTTCACCTGCATCTTTTCACTCGCTCTCGGTCGTCCTCGAATACCTCCCCCCCGCTCCGACCTCCACTTCTACCGCCTGCACTCTCTTCTCACACGATTCCGGGCGCAAAAAACGCCCTAAGTGAACAGCGTGTTATATCCATGGAGGTGACGGTGTTCCTCCCCCGCCAGAACATGAGTTCCCGCTCGAACCTACCTGTCGCCATGCGCGAATGTTCCCCCTCCAAGTGTCTTCCCCAGAGGAGCATTACCCTCATCGGGGACATGAGAGGTAGTGTAGTGTATGTAAGTGAAAGTGTGGTGTACGGGGAGAGGAAGGGGTAAGGTTGAGAATAAAAGATAACGTGCGCTGCATGGCTCAATTGTTAGGGCACTACTGCCTGGTATTGACCTAAGAAACCCCAGAAAACATCATAGCCTCCAGCTGACAGAATTCTCCTCCAGACATCGGCTGAATTCGACCCGGTTATATAGCAAGTGTAGAAAGTCTCCCGCCGTCGGGACTCTTCAACCCCAGCGACCCGCGGTCAGCGATGCTGCAGATGCAACGGTGTTGCCGCTGAGCTATCGCCTGCGGTGGCGTGGGCGTGGGCGTGGGCGTGGGCGGCGGCGCATCGCATCGCACCGCACCGCATCGCGTCTCGTCGCGAGGCGCAAGGTCGCGGGGGAGCGGGCGCTCGGAATAGGCGCTCGCTTTGTTTGCCCTCGCGCCGCCCACGCGCCGCCCCGCGCCGCCCCGGGGCGCGCCGCGAGCGACGGGCCTCCGCCACGGATCCCCAGCCGCCCGCGCGGCCAAAGCGGGGCGCGCGCGATCGGGTTGCACGCTGTTGCCAGGTGCTCGCCGGCCTAGCGTTTCAGAAACTACGAACAACGCTTGCGATAGCTCAGTGGCAACGCAGTTGCCTCGGCAGCATTGTTGACCGGGTTGTCCAAGGGTTAGAGTTATTACGGTGGCGACTTTTTGACACTGGCCCGATAGCTGGGTGTGTAGGGGAGAAGGGGGGACAAGGATGAGGGAGGAAAGATCGCGCGCGGTCCGTAGCCCATTTGTTAATGTACTGCTCCAGCATTCTAACGGCCGAATGTTCTGATCGCTTGTTTTCCGTGGTTTCTCCGATCAACACCAGGAGAATGTTGGAGCAGTACATTAACAAATGGGCCACGGACCGCGCGCGACCTACACACACAAACATACATTATTTCGTGCACAACACTACGGCACATGCCGGAAGATCAGACAGAAGATTAGAGCTAATCGTGACTGAGGGAGAGTCCAGGAGGAAGAAAAGCCCACATGTATGTCAGCGCCGGATCTCACGTTCCAGTGGGGAGGAACATTGCCCCCTCCCGAGAACAAGCCCTACACTCATGGCACTAATATCCTAAGTAGTTGACCCCGAGCGGAAGGAAAAAGTCTCGTAATGTGATGAACATATTAATATAATTAAATAAGAGGAAAATATTAACAGGAAAATAAATATAATTTATAACATTTTTAATTTTCTTGCGCTCATTCATAAAATGAAGTAAGTTAACAAAAGAAAAAAATTGTAAAAACTAGTTTTTATTTTATAAATAATATTTGTTGTAGATGGTTTGGAATGCAATTGATATACCCTCGAAATAGCTTACGGATCACTCGTGTATTACTGCATTACTGCATGCCTGCATTACTCAAACCACGATAATTATACTTTTTTTTGATAACTCGAATTTTTCATATTTTAATTACCTTATGCATCATGTTCTTACACTTAATATAATACTTGACCGTTAAAAATGAAATAGGTTATGAAAAAATCCTCCATTACACCATTTATTGCACTTTTACTGGGTGTTCCACATTGCCTCTGCCGTGTTATTTCTTTCCAATTGACGATTGAAACTCGAAAGAAGGATGCCATTTGTTTCTTACCAATACAGTTAGACGTTCTTTACGTTACAAGCTTTCCCGCCCACCTAATCTGTTTTCAAGGGCGCCGACACAGAGACAAATTTCCATCCATTCCTCTCAGCGTACCTCTTTTTGCTCCTCGAGAATTCGAACAAATGAGTTTTGCGAGAATTCCTCCTTTTACTGAAATTTATTCGAACTATTTTGCAAGGCATTACGCCAATTAACGAGAAAAATAGTAGAAAGTCTTTCTGTACTTGTCGACTTTAATCTCTAATAATGCACTTGTTCCTCTCAGAAACTTGAAGCTCGAAAAGTCGAAATATTAGAGAATAGAAACTTTTATTTCTTTCACTTCAATATTGAAATATTGTAATTCCATTGAATATAAATGAGGATCACGATCCGTACATTTTCAACTAAAAATAATACGATTTGAAGATAAATTTGAGAAAATAGCTTAGGGGTTTTTAAACTCTGAAAACGCATTTTTTTCACAATAGTAATAATTCATTTACTCAATCAAAAATAACGTAGTAATGTCTCACCTACATTATGTAATAAAATCCCTACACACATCTCTCTGACCGATTTGCCAGCATCTTACTTTCCTACGTTGTATGTTTTCAAAGGTAACTGTGGTTGATGCAATTGGCAAATGACAGAATTGGGTGATGCAATCCAGCAAAATAATGGCGAACACTGTAACTCAGGAGACTTCTTGCCAGTTCCATTTTAGAAATATGCAATGTCATTAGTATTCGAACGTGATATATTGATGGATGAAGAAATAGATCGAAGTACTTTCCTGAAGAATTATATCGCGCATTTCTCGTCACAAGATTTTTCTATCACAGAAGTAAGAAAACAAACCTCGAAACCAATAATCTATCAGCTCCTAGTAACAGACGCAATGCGGTGTCATCACGTTTGGCAACAGCAAGTATTTGCAATCACGAGTTGCGTAATCCTTCAAATTTGACTCGTTCATCAGAATATTCATGTATTTCTCAAGTGTTTTTTCAATATATTCATAAAGTGAAAATATCATACCTGTTTATTTTTGATAACATTCTACCTTCGAATATTATTGTATTGTTTTTTTTTCTTTTCGCGTTAGTTACAAATCTCAATATCAACTGCAAGTATCTCAAATATATTATTTCTAAAAGAAATAATGTTCATGAGGCATTCTACAGTAATTGTACGGTAACAATTCGCAAATATTACACGAATAAATATCTACAATAATTGCTGGTAGTAATAACATTCTGTATTTTAGAAAAACAATACTTTCCAATAGTCTGTGTTGAAATCTGATTTGCAAAACAAAGTAGTAGAATTTCAGGGTTTAATATACACACGCAATGATTGGTTTTTGTTTGCCTATTAAAAACACAAACTGTTTAGTCAGAGTGGGTCAGTATGATTTACAGATTCTAATGGTGTTTGGCAGGAAATGAAGATTAAAGTGAGAAGAATAGAAAGAATAGTTTTATAATCTTGTCAAATGTAAGCAAGTAAAGTATATAATACCGCATAAAAATAACCTTGCAAATTACAAGGCTAAAGACGATAGTAAAAGCACATAAAACTACCAATATATAAAAAATTCCGACGAACGACGAAATCGTATAAAATAAAACAAAAAAAGGCAAAAAAAATAGAATTTAAAAAAATGGACGAGTTTATTAATTGTTAAAACTAAGAAAGATCCTAATTCAGAAAGTTACCCGCCAGAGAAAACATTTGTAATAATAGCATTAGGAGAATTAGGATTAATTTATTTGAAATGCACATGCTGTTATGTTTTATTTAGTTTTCTTTCTGGTTGGTGGATTGCGGTCTCCCTGCTCCCACACTTTCTTCCTTTCACCATTCGCCCATGAGATGAATCGATTTTGAATGGTCGTAGACGAAACAGATACATGATGTGCCTTCAGAGACGTCTTCTGCGAAGATGTGAACCTGTTAAGTCCTCTATCTACATGGCATCCTGCAGAGAATCCAATGTATACAAGGTCTTTTTTAACAGAGTATTATTTGATACTTTTGTATCTAAGACAAACTTAAAGAATTAAAATTGTTAGTTTTAGACTTTAAATCGCATTATTCATGGGTATTTGATCACGTTAAATACCAAATTTGTTTACGTTCTGATAGTCTGTAGTGATACTTTGGATTTGTCGAAGGGTTTCCAATATTTTAATGATTATGGATGACATGTAGTAAGAAGAAATTGTTCTGAAAAGAAGAAGGTTTTCTACAATTCTTATAACCCTTGCATGTGGTTTTTTCAAACAAAATTTACATTTGTACGGTCACAATAATAACTTTCAAATGATACACGCGATCTGCATTAATATCGTACACGTATATGTAGACCGAAAGGGCAAACCTCGAATCTTAACTTTTGGAAACAGATAATCTCACAAAATGCAACCATCTGCATGAAATACAGAGTTCTATACTTATTTCCAAAAAATGTTTTATTCGTATTATTTGCTCATATAACGAATTGATGACAATTGTATATATCGGGAATTTTTTCTTGACCGTGAATAAAACAATAGATAAGATTGCGAAAGAGTTCAAGTCATAAACATAAAATATCGGGGGAAAGATATCACGCAAATTAACGTCATAAACATGAAGTAAGTGAAGTAAACACAACGTCTCAAAGCCACAACTTTAACTATATATAGTTAATTATTAATATTTATCTCGAACTATCTAGTCTTCCTAACAAAATACGGTACTCGTGATCTTTCCTCCTGTAGATGACGTTCTGTGGAGACGCGTGTAGTCGTGTCCAGGGTGACGAAGCGTCGTGCAAGGATTGCTCGTTATCCCGCCAGGGTCGCGGCGGTGGCACGGGCGAAAGCGCGCCCCGCGCGCGGCGCGCGTCGGCACTCACCCCACGGCGCCGTTCTCCAGCACCTGCGTCTGCTTGTTCAGCACCTCCGCCACGTTCTCCGCGGAGTACATCTTGATCGGGGAGTTGAACTGCTTGTTGACCAGCACCTGGCCCTTGGGAGTGCTTGCCTGCGCCGCCATTGCTGCCTCTGCGGACATGCAAAGCGAGGTGTGCAGGTTCGCGATTTTGTCTACTCCCGCCCGTGCGTCACCGCGTCGCCGGCGCGGCCTCGCGTGCGTGCGAGCGCGAGGCCCTGGGGACGCGCCAGGGCCGTGCCTTCCGAGCCCACGCACGCCGCCCCGCTCGCCGCCACGCAGGCTTTCTCGAGGGCCGCGCCCTTATCGGGAAAATCAACTCAACTTGAGAACTTTACCCAATAATTGCAGGAGTACCACAAGGGTTAGTACTCTATCCAACATTATTCAATATTTATATCCAAGATATATCTATCCACGGTGATTCCAACAAAGCATTAAATTCGGGCGACACTGACCTATTTTCTACAAATTCTGATCTCTTAGTAGCGAAAGATCACAATAAAAATCATCTGGATAAGTACACATATTGGACCCAGAATTGAAGAGTTTATTCCAGATAAATGTGAGGCAAAAATGTTCATCCCACGTAGACCACGTAATTCAACTGAGCTAACAATACTAGGTACGAGAATACAATGGGCCACCTCACCGATAAATTATCTTGACACTTTATTTGATAAAAGGTTAACATAGAAATCTAACAACAATGCAGTAGTAAACAAAACTAGAGTAAAAATTTCAAAGTTATTTCCATACGAAAGCATTGCCGTACATTGAAAATTGAATGTGCACTGCTACTATTTAAATCCATTATCCTTCCTAGCATACCTTTGGATGCCCAGTGTTAGGAGATGCCGCTCCTAGCAATATTCACAAAATTAAAGTAATCCATTATATTATTTCTAATAAACACTCTGAATGATTCGTGGTTCATTATGAACAAATTCATTGAAAATTAAAAATCGCAAAAATAGAAGAAATCATAGCAAATAAATTTTACCACATTCTGCATACCTCCCCATGTACCTATATTTTTAACGTGGGAAAATGCAATCTATCCACGTATAAAATCAACATTTCACGATCAAAACCCCGTAAACCATAACACCCTCAGCTCCTTACTATAAGCATGTACCTTCGTCTTAGTTAACAATCAAATTTACTTAACAATTAATTTTGAGTGCAAACTGCTCATATCTTATGGACCACAATGTCATTGACTAATCTTATGTGCTATTGAAACCATTGAAATTCTGTATTGTCGAACAAGAAGAAATTATTAAAATAAA